GGCGGCGGCAGCCGCTCCGAACGGGGCCGGAGCCGGGGCAGAGCCGCCCCGCGGGGAGTTCAACCTCTCCGGGCTGGCCGAGGGCGAGGGGAAGCCCCTCTTTGGGATCGGCATCGAGAACTTCATCACCTTGGTGGTCTTCGGCTTGATCTTCGCCCTGGGGGTGCTGGGCAACTCGCTGGTGATCACGGTGCTGGCGAGGAGCAAGCCGGGCAAGCGCCGCAGCACCACCAACATCTTCATCCTCAACCTCAGCATCGCCGACCTGGCCTACCTGCTCTTCTGCATCCCCTTCCAGTCCACAGTCTACGTGCTCCCCACCTGGGTGCTGGGCGCCTTCATCTGCAAGTTCATCCACTACTTCTTCACGGTCTCCATGCTGGTGAGCATCTTCACGCTCTCGGCCATGTCCGTGGACCGCTACGTGGCCATCGTGCACTCCCGACGCTCCTCAGCCTTGCGTGTTTCCCGCAACGCGCTGCTGGGTGTGGGTCTCATATGGGCGCTCTCCTTCGCCATGGCCTCCCCCGTGGCCCACCACCAGCGCCTCTTCCACCGCGAGGCCAGCAACCAGACCTTTTGCTGGGAGCACTGGCCCAGCCCACGCCACAAGAAGGTCTACGTGGTCTGCACATTCGTCTTCGGCTATCTGCTACCACTGCTGCTCATCTCCTTCTGCTATGCCAAGGTGGGGCAAAGCAGGTCATGGTGAAGGGGATATGAAAAGGATGGGGGGGACACAATGGTGGCGGGTGCCCATGAGCTGTGGGGACACCTCTGAGCACGTGGAGGGACGTGGCACTGTCGGGAGGCAATGGGGCAGGGTTGAGTTTGTGGAGCAAATGGAGAGGGCAGGTTTTGTAGACGAGGGATGGCTGGGGGGCACACACGCACACGTGTGTGTGTGTGGCACAGACCCAGACAGGAACTGCATGGGGCAGGACCAGGGGGCTTCGTCTGGCAATTGCTGGGGTCCCTCTGCCAGATGTCCTTGTTGCAAAGTGCTAAGAAGCCCCCGTGCTCTGCTGCTTTCTCTGTCGACACGTCTCTGCTGTCTTCTTGCAGTGCTGCATGAGGAGTTCAAGTTGAACTAAAGTACAACAAAGCAACAAGTTGTTCAGGCTTCAGATGGAGCACTGCAGTTGTTCAAAATGCAGTGCACTGAAAAAATGGCACAAATCCACCAGGCTGGTCTCATCCAGCTGATGGGTGAAGAGCAAAAGGCGCATCACGCTGCCTGGTCCCTGTGAGCCCTGTCTTGCCCCAGTTTGAGTGGGAGGTTTACCTCCGACTTCAGCAAGGGCAGATGGTGCTAGGGAGCAAGAGCGTGAGGACCCAGGTAGGAAAAAACAATAAGTAAGGGTGCCTGAAAGAGGGTATTTAATGACTTTTCTGCTCAGGTAAACTGCCACGTTTTTCTCTGACTATGAATTGCAGCCTTCAGCATAGGGTCTGCTGCTGGCTGCTGGGCAGGATCTGGAGCACCGGCTGCTACCTGCTGAGTTAGGCAGAGATCCTCCTGCAGCTGCGCCTGCAACCTTCAGGAGCAGGATTTCTCCTTAGGCACTAATTTGTATTTAAGAGGATAGGTCTGCTCTTGCGCGTAAGGACTGCTTAAGTATTGAGAAGCCAGTTCTTAAGTTGGCAAGTTTGATAGATGTAATTAAAGTTATTAATTTGAATAACTTTATGTTCTGTTCAGTTCTGTATGTTACATCAGTTTCATTGTGATGTGCAAATTAAGGCTAGATGGCATCCAACTCTGCTAAAACCACGTTATGCAGAACTCCAAGAACAACACTTCTAAATTACTGTTTGTGATGAAACGTCTGACCTGCCAAGTGGAGAAGAAATACATTTTTCATGCATAAACCGAATTCTGTTTTCCCTGGATGAGTGTACTGTTATTTCATCTACAGTGGTGAATATGACTGAGCTGTGAGGGGAATGAAACTTGCTGTAGCCATAGATCATCAGAGTTTTAAGAAAATACTACATATTTCAGGGAGAATGTTACAAAATGTGTGCAGAGGGAGATTTTCAGCCATTAAGAATTCTTCTATTTTTCAAAGCCAAAGCATCTTCAGTACCAACCTTCAAAGCCTAACTATATGACAGAAGATTGATAAGTTTTTCAAGATTATGCCAGTCGTGCATAGTTGGGGGGGGGGGGAAAGGAAATATGCTTAAATAAGATTTAAGTGTAGCAAATATAACACACCATGTTGTTACAAAGCACCACTACAGTGGTAGATATCTCAATATTAGTATGAATATGTAGTTAAAGAAGAAAACAGAGCAACTCAAGGTGAAATACGTGCCCAGAACAAGTTCACAAAATCAAGGCCACTCAAAGTTACAACTAAAATCTTATGCTTAAATTATTTCCAGGCTACGATCTCACCCTGGCTTGGTGATGTGTTTTGAGCCTGTGTGTGTGATCCTGCTTGCCATGGTGTCAGGCTGGAAGATCCAGCCTGAGGGGATGAGTTATACCTAGGAGATACCTGGTATTCCCATCGGTGTCAACAAAGCTGGAAAATGCCGTGACTTGTACAAGGCTGTTGGAGGTATTTGTACCCTGCAGCGTAAAGGCTCATTCCTGCCCTCATCAGGAGCCACTGGCAAATCTCCCAACTGCAATATTTTGGCACGTGGGGCAGGGTGAGGGAGAAATTAGGAATGGTGGGAGTTGAAAATCGGAGTTGATGTTTTACATTTGTCAAAGTCTGTGCTACTCTCACAGGTCTCAAGCAAAGTGGTCACGGCGAGCTGTTATTGATGTCTCTAAAGCACTGTGAAGTACTACAAGTATTTTGGCTTCTGAATGCACGTAGGGTTAGAGGATCGCTGCTCAGAAGCCTCAGAAGTATTAGAAAAATAAATGCATTAGTTTCTTACGGATCTTAGTTTCTGAGATCCATGAACTGTGGATCAGCTAAATGACGCAATCATCCAATACAGTAGATTAAGACAAAGGAGACTTATTTCTCAATCTGAATATATCGACTTTTCTAGACTCCTTTAAGGCAGTTCTGTGTTCTTTTTATAAGCAAATTGCAATTGAACTTTCAGTTTTGAAAGTCTCATTTTTTAGGCACTCTAATAGGGAGCAGAGTTCTTTCTCTCTCTCACTCTCTCTTAAATTATCATAGGAGAGATTTGTGTTTTCCACAGTGGACGGCAATGCTGTTATGACCTACAGAAGTGCCAAAATAGTGCTAGATATTTGGAGGCAGTGTCCTCCCACAAAATCAGAACTGGAAATCTCATGTGCTCTTAAGGAAGAGATTTATGAGATCGTGCTCTGTGTCATGTATGTACGGCTACCCGTTTCATCTCTCCCACAGATAACTGGTTCAGTTTCAACCAAATTTGCTACAGGAGCAAAAATATCAGAAAGAATGATATTTCCCTAGTTTTGTGAACACAGGAGTCAGCGGAGAAGGTGGAGAGTCTTTGTCATCTTCTTTCCTTTACAGAGAGTCAGTTTGCACTCATCTGTTAAATATCAGACAAGCCATAGCAGGAAGAGGTCTTATGTAGCATCTGCTCATGGAGGAGACACATCTTTTTGGGAACAAACGTTCAAGAAATCACAAATCCATAGGAAACCAGCTTTTGTTGGCTCACAGAACTACTCTTGATAGGAGCTTACTACTCCAGCCAGTGGAGCAGTGATATGTATTGTTACTGGTTGAGTTACAGTGCTGCATACTTGTAGACAGCCTGTATTCTCATTTTTTTTATTGCTTATCATATGACTTGCCATGTTTTTTTAATACTGAGTTTTAGTATGTGTTTTGTAACATTGCTACTACATTTGCTCGCTTAAAGGGCAAAGTAGTAAGTGATTCCCAGCGAGCTTCTAACAGTTGACATCTGCCAGGATAGTGCAATGTGACAACTGAGTTTGGGTGCCTCTGCTTTTGAGTACCCAGTCTTGAGGATTCAGTCTTTGAAAGTGAAAGTCAGGCCTCTTTCAATCAATGTTGGACACCTAAAATCCTTAGAAAACTTCTCCTTTTATAGATGTATAATGTTAAAAGCTTTTTTAAAGAAAAGATTTCTCACCTTAAGAATGTTTCCATTATTGTCTATCATTCTGAACATTCTGAGTTCATGGAAGTCATGCATGATTTATAGACTTGGTTAACAGTAAGCCATAAAAAGTAGGAGCCTCAACATAAAATACAAGCTTATGTGGTTCTGGGTTTAAGATATTATATGCTAAATTTTGCTGAGCAGCGAGGGAAAACTTTACTAAACTGCACTGAAAAGGAAAATAAAGGGTATGACATGTTAGCAACACTATGAAGTGAAAGTGGGGGAAGGATCTGTTGTGACAATAGAAGTAGCAGCATTACTTTAAAAAATGGATTGTGATCAATGGCACTCAAATTCAAATCAGGTTCATACTACAAAATATGGTTCAGAATGTAATGCTCACATTATGTCTCAGTCAAACAAGCAGTTCATTCTTATTAGACAATGACCTTGGGCAGGCTTTCCTGCTGCATGATTTTCGGTGGCTGATAATGGAGGTGTAGTCAGTGGAATGATTATATACAGACAGAGAGGAAATATGCTCTGCAATAGTGTAGGCTTCTAACTTTTACAAGTCATGACTTATGAGAATAGGCACAGATAGTTTAAGCTATTTTTTGCTCTCTCCCTTATTGGAAAAATCCCTTTCTCAACTTGATTTGGTCATAGTCCCTCAGCCTGGGCTCTCAAACCGTCTTGAATTTAGTCCCTGAAAAAACTAGGGAAAAAATAGAAAAAAGGAATGAGTAGTCTGTAGGCAAAATCCAGGGCCTCGCAAATGCCATCAGTGGTAGTTGTGGTAGTACAGCCTAGACCAGGTAGGAACTTCTTATATTTTTATGTTCCTACAAGTTTCCGTACACCCTCTTTCACAACAGCACAACTTTCTTCCCAAAGCACCCCACCCTCATCTCCAAAAAACAGGAAAGCTGTTCCTTGCCCGAGAGCCAGATATGATCTGTGATCAACAGGTACATGAAAGCTGGAGCTAGAAAAGTTTCATGTCAAGAATAAATTTTTCCACTGAGCTGAGGTTTCAAAAAACGTAACACCTGATGAGAACAGGTTGTGACCTATTTTTTAGCAAGGTGAGTATTTCATTCCGCGAGTTAAAAATGCTCGTGCACATGTATTAGCGGATATTTTGAAAGACTTTCTTCAGAGAAATAACCTGAGACAAATTAACCTGAGACATGTGGAATTATTATTCATCCAGGTGAAGTGACAGTGGCTGTTAGAGGAACAATTGGTTACTTGTTGGCCCAGAGAATTGGAATGGGGCAGTGAGGTGTCCTTGATCTGCCTTGTAGTGTTTGTGCATAAGGCTCTCAGTATCCCTCCATGGCCTTCTGTGTAGGTCTCTTAGTGCTGTTCCACTGCTGTTGATACGTAATTACATTCTGCCTATTTCTCTTGCTGCCAGTTTGCATACCACCTGGTGCACTGCCATGTAGAGACAGCATGTTTTCACTGAAAAGACTTATTTTATGAAGTACGTGTATAATCTGAAAGAGAGGAAGTTGAGAAGGATTCATTGGAAGGTTATAATCTAAATCTTCAACAACACCTGCCCCCCCCACCCCAATATCCGATTTAACAACTTTGTCTGATGCATTTTTCTTGGGATTGGAGAGAGATGCAATGTGAAAAATGGTGCTAAAAGTTTCAGAACAATAGAAAAAATGTTTGTGACTTTAAAAGAAGATTTTGTGGTTCTGATTTCTGGGAAGAGCTTATCTGACTTTAGTAGGAACAGCCCATCACTGTAAGCTGTGTGAAGGGGGCACAAAAGGTGAAGTAGCAGTGATGGGAAGTGGAATTCTCTGTATGTTTCCCATGCTTTTCTTGGGTTTTACATTTTTTACCCATGGACTAAGCAATTCAGCTGTCTTGTACACGGTGATGGCAGGTGAAAAAAGAGCGTGTGAGCCAGAGGATCACCTCCCTGGTCTTCTGTGGACCTCAGGGGCTCTCCTTTCTTTCTGGTGTGCTTCATCCTGGAGAAGAAAGAAAGGCTGAAGCCAAAATGGGACCTTCTCAGAGAAAATCCGTTTATTTTTCTCCTGCCTTTCCTGAGCTCAGGTTAGCCTTGGCAGCAGCCTGGCTAGTGTTGCAAAATCAGAAGTGCATGCAGGGCTGAGTCTTTCACACGCAAACCTGCTAGTGCACAGGTAAGCACAAATGAACTGCACTTCCAATGTTAAGTGTCTACAAGTAATTTTAATTTTTATTGCTGTTTGTGGTTTGCTGGTAGCTATGAGTAGATACTTAAAAAGTGCAATCCACTGACGGGCTATGGTTATCACAAATATAATTTATTTCTTTTAATTCTTTTTGTATGTTTTTAAGACTCAAATGCCAGAGTGGGAACAAGTCTACAGGTCATCTGGCCTGGTCTGTGTCGTGGTTAGCCATGCAGGCCAAAGAGAACAGAGAAAATGTCCCCAGATGGTATAAGAGAATTTGAATTTGTATCCTTTTCCCCACCTCATGAAGTCTCCTTATAAGCCCTAAAATTCAGTGTTATATTCCTTAAAAAAAATGCTTTTAGTGCTAGATGATCTTACCTATGAGTTCTGGATGATCTTACTTGTTAAATTGTTCTCAGTTCATCGTAGAGCTATGCAAAGTGCAACCTAACATCATCATCTAGCTGAGCTCTACACTCTGACACTTTCTCTAAAAAAATTCCTCTTGTTGTATTTTAATTAAACCCTGGAGTTGAATTAAGCATCTCCTTTTTTTAATTCTGTATGGTTTACAACTTGTTAAACACGTTCAGCTGAAGAGCATATTCCCTGCCCCCCATGCATACAAATCATGCCGTACGAATATGTTAGATTCAGTTAATAATGACGGCAGATAAAGTAGGGCATGCACCTCCATGCATCCACTATCCAAAATCTTATGTGTAAATCATTATGTTAAAATTTGGACCCTGCTCTTGGATGATGAGCCTTTTCGAGACATAGTTTTAAAAATTACTTGTGAAAGGTACCTGACAAATATCATAAAATTGTTGATAAAGGTCATTCCTCATGTGAGATACATTGTAGTACAAATTATTTTTGAAAGCCTAAGCTTCTTTCGAAGATCAAATAGCACCAGCATCCTGATTATATTAATCAAACATCCATCTCAAGAAAGCAAATTATGCAAGTGACTCAGAAAAGCTCTGACTCAAAACATACACTTTTTATGTTATGTGCAGTAAATGTCGTTCTAAATTAACAAGAAATTTTTATGCACGAAGAATGATTGCTAATTCTAGTGCATAATAGATTTCCATTTGTTGCCTTGTTCATTGGTAATGTGTATTTGTTGTGTAATACATCTGAATTTTTATATAAGAATTCAGTTCTGGTCTGCTTTGTATTTGTTCATTCACACAAAAGCAGATATGTAATTCCTTTGGATTTTATACTGTGCACTTTTGAAATGTGTATGTTGGGTCGGCGATGTTTGCAAGAGACTCATGCAGTACTGGAGAGCATAGTCTAAAATAGATGGGTTTGAATTTTAGAAAATGGTGAAATACAAGATGCAAATTAATCTTTTCAGGTTCTTAATCATCTGCATAAGAAGTTGAGAAATATGTCAAAGAAGTCAGAAGCGTCCAAGAAAAAGGTAGATTGCTTTCTTTACCAATATTTGTTTATATTTCAGTTTTATGGCTAAGCTGATTTGTTATTGTATTGCTTGTTGCCAAAGATGTAATGGAGAGAAGGAATTAAGATGAAGTATTTTATGACGTATTCAGTGTCTCTCTGACTGTAGCAAGCTTGGAATCTTTTCTGATCTGAGTTTTACATCGCAGTGCATCAAGCCATTACCCATATTTTTAGCTTCAGAGCATCTGAAATTTAGACATGGAGAGACAACCTGTCTCCAATATTAAATGGGGCCTTTTGCCTCACAGGTATTTTCCCCTAACTTGTTAATTTTTTTTAATTCCTTTTTTTAACTACCTGAATTTTTTAATGATTTATGAAGAATTCCTAGGTTATATGATAAGACTTTAAAATGAGGTTTATTGTGCTTCCTGATAAGAGTCTGATAAGAGACTTTTAAGGATTCTGCAATTCTTCTCCTCATTTTCCACAAAATGTTCTTTTCTCTTATGTTTAAGACTTGAGTTATATACTGGTTACAAGTAGAATTGTGAAAGGTCTTTAAAGCAGAATATAAGCTTTGCGATTTGGAACAATATTTGAAAGATGTGTTAATGTATTGAATTTGTCAGCTAATATAAAATGGTTCTGATTTTTGAGCAGACTTGACCACAGTAATCATTTGACTAACTTCTCAGTTTATGAATGTGGACTCAGAAAGACCCCTTAGGCTACAGCTCCTCATTTGATCTGATCACTGTTACCATATGGGCATGCAGACTGTCTGCAATGTAAATGAGATATACATGGGCTCAACAGGGAAAAAGTAATGTTATTTATGCATTCTCTAGTTTTTTGAAAAAGATCCTAGTCAATAGATTTTAATTCCTAGAACTAAAAGCATTCTAGCCCTCATTCCATAAAATACTTACCATATACATTTGCACTTAATGTCATCAAGGCCAAAGGTGTAGTTTTCAAAGGTGTTCTGTACATTGCCATCTCTACTCTCATCTAAATTAATCTCAAACAGCAAATATCTCTGCGTTTGCTCTAAACACTAACTCTTAGAAATTGCAAGAAAAACCAGATCTGGCTAGGAACCAGCTTTTGTAGCTTCAGGGAAAAGTGTTATGGATATGCACAGGACTGCTTCGACAAATCAGGGTTCAGTAACCAAAGGACAAAAAAACCAGCATCCCAAAACTTTTTTTTGCCTTGGAAAATAAGTTTCTAATCCTAAGGCCTAATTCATGTTTTTCAGAGCAACTCTGTTTTCACTAGTGTGCTGTTTCTCTCTGGTTACTGTATCTTTCTTCTTTTCCTTCTACTGTTTTGTTAAGAGTGCGTTTCAGGCTTAATTATACCTTTCTAGCTTTATTCAAACATTTCTGAAAATTTCAGTAGTAGAATCTTAAAATTAATTTGCTATATGTGTGGAAAAAAGTTAATGAAAAATATGAATGTCCCTAAAGGCTATTTTTTGTGCTTTTTGGTCACAAAGCATCGATATTAACATCATGTATTTCAGGTGGGTTTTATTTGCTGCTGAGAAACCCTAAGCAAGCTCCCGTTAGGTAAACAAGAGCTGCCCTTTAGTGGTACCTTGGTTGCAAGGCATAGTGGTGGTTTTGGAAAGGTAAGCTCTGAGGTTAGGCTGAGGATGGCTGCCCAGGGAGGTTGTGGAGTCTCCTTCTCTGGAGATATTGAAGACCCGCCTGGAAGCGGTCCTGTGCAGCCTGCTCTGGGTGACCCTGCTTTGGCAGGGAGTTGGACCAGATGACCCACAGAGGTCCCTTCCAACCCCGACCATTCTATGATTCTATGATTCTATGGGATGAAGCAGATGATGTGAGGTTTCCTAATGCAAACCTACTTATTCTGCACATACGAAATACCTTAAGTAACATAGGAGAGACACATGGTCAACCTCTGCTTTCAGGAGCATCCGTACAGTCTATTGAAAGTCAGTGATTTTCCTGGTGTATTTTTTTTTAATTTTTTTTTTTTTTTTTTAGAATTTTGAACAAATTGACGTAATATGCCTCTTTCGAAAAAATAGTGCATGCGGTATCCAGGCAGTTTGTTTTTAGCTGGAATATTAACATATTGAAGAGATCAGAGAATGAACTGCTCTTAATTTATACTTCCTTATAAGCAGGTATTCTCCTGATGAGACCTGAAAGAGAACATACTTGTGTGGTTGGTTGTTAGTGGCAACTGAGTTAAACTCCGTAGGGCTAAGTAGAGGAACGGCTGGTGAAAACAGATGAAGCCTTGAGACTGAACAAGTTATATTTACTGCAGTTACAATGTCCTTTGGCTTCTGTTTTGAGATTTTGCTGACCAACAACAGTACCTGTCATAAGTTTTTTTGGCCTGTTGCCACAAAAATCAAACTTTTTTTTTTCTGTAAGTTTCTATACATTAAACAATGTTGTAATTAGGTAGGTCAGTCTGAATTATTACTGAGCATTAAATCAATTTGAGAAGCATAGACCAAGTTCAATAAGCTAGCAAAAAGTGTAAGTATTCTCTGTGCTGCAGTATTCATCACTCTGTGGCCAGTGGGTTGCTTTGCCTGTGAAGAGCCTCCGTTATCTGAAAAATCATGTTGTAAAGTGTTGATATAGTAATTATAATGATCCATAACATGGTATGTTTTGGAATTAATATTAGGCTTTTATTAGGAGAGTGATTTGGTTGAAAAGAGGTACTTGTTAGAGAAGTAGATATTAATTAGTTGAGCAACTGCAAAGCGCATACTGTTTCTGAAGCAAGTGAAAGCTAAAGAAAACATTGACAGTCAAACTCCACTGTGCCCTGGCAGAATACCTTTAGCATCTGAGAGATCTGTGCTGACTGATACTGGAGCTGTCTGGATGGATCTAATGAGCTAGATGGCCCTTCCTCTCACAAATAATGACACTGGAGTCAGCAGGCAGCACCGAGGATATTGTGTTCTGTTTTTCTGAGTTCAGTGTTTGGCGGTGAGCTTTAATTTCCAGATTGGTTTTGACAATGTGCAATCACAATTTCAAGCTCGGTTTTTTTTCCCTAGTTGTATCCCAGAATGTTGTTGCATGACTCCCCCTGTGGAAATTTTATTTTTGAAGAAGAGACTTTCAAAAAAAACCCTGCTGCTTTGTAGATGCTTGAGCAAAGTGTTTGTCTGACTGCTCTAAGCTCTTCCACTCGTTGCCTTCATATGCAATAGATCTCTCTTGAAATTCTGGTCAGAAATCCTTGTGCGCCATGCTAAAATATAGGTCATTAGATCTGGATGAGATTTCCCCAAGACCCATGTTACCATGACTTTACATCAAGCTTATGCCCACCTCAGAAAAGGCTAGGCTTCTGGGTAGGGGATCAGGAGCATCAATCTGGTTTGTAGGGAATCAGGAGCATCATTCTGTACCTTCGAGCATAGTTATAGATTTGCCTTTTACTGTGGCATTTTTGAGGCTAAGGTTCTCCTTGCAATAGTTCGCTGCACAAAACAAAGCCCATATAGGTAATGGAGTAAAAGCAGTAATAAATATTTGAAAGCGTGTTCTCTCTCAGTATACCCTTTTCCCCCCAAATAAAGGTTTTGAAGCAGGTTTAAAGCTGATTCTTCAAGTGCTCATCAGACATCTGTGTTTTCCTTTCCCTGTCTCAGACAGCGCAGACTGTGTTGGTGGTGGTAGTGGTTTTTGGCATCTCCTGGCTGCCGCATCACGTGATCCATCTCTGGGCTGAATTTGGAGTTTTCCCGCTGACTCAAGCCTCCTTTCTCTTCCGAGTAACTGCACACTGCCTGGCTTACAGCAATTCTTCTGTGAACCCGATTATATACGCATTTCTCTCTGAAAATTTTAGGAAGGCCTACAAACAAGTCTTCAAATGCCAGATAGGTAACGAGTCACCTCTGGATGATGCTAAGGAAAATAGAAGTCGGATAGATACACCACCATCTACCAACTGTACACACGTGTGAACTTTGAAAAGTCCTGTATGTTGGCTCTTCATTTGTGTGAACTAAACACCTAGAAAACGAAGCACAATGAGCTTTATCCTGGGTTTGTCTTGATATAGCTAATTGCTATTTAAGGCACTGAAGTTGCGTTTGTAGCAAAATTTTGTGAAACTGGTATGAAAGAAAACTAAGTTGGTCTTTTGCATCTTAAATGGCTTTGTCAAATGAAGCTCTTGGACCTTTAAAAGACACTTGAGGAAAAAAATGTTGTAGATGGTCTGTATTCTTACCCACTAAGAACACAGTCTGTAAACATTCAAATGTACAAGAAGGAAATGTTGATATGGACAAGTAGCTTTCTGACATCTTACTCCATCAAAGTGAAGAGATGGCTAAACTTTCTGTCTTATAGATAATAAATACCAAGGTACTATGTTTTCAGAGAGGAAAGCTTTTGTTCTGGTTCAGATTGGTTTGACAATGCCTTTTCGCTTTTTAAAGTGAAGCTGGGCTCTGATTCAGAATTGAAATAACCCAGGTACAACTTGAGGCAATTGCTTTAAAGAGGAAATGCTAATTTTATCTGTTTAGCTGTCTTTTTAATGTAACATACTGAGTGATGATGGATTTTTTTTTCCACTTCATATGCCTGCCTTTCTGTATACACAGAACTTCTGTGTACGCTATAAAAGATTTTGTTTATGGCCTGTATGTAGTTGTAACAAAATGAGGATTTGTGTCTATCTGAGGGAAGCTTTTCTTCGTGTGTTGCATGTGCATGTGTGTGTGTGTGTTCCGTCAACTTTATAGACTTTGAGATGGAGATACAGTTTTAAATGTGCAATATATACATATGTTTTAAAATATATTCCATAAAGAAATTCTGGGCAATGCTTAAGCATTTAAAAATACCATTCCCTTAAAAGTTGTAGGAAGGGCTTGATATCATGTAGCTCTAATTTGGAAAAATTCAGAAGGATGCATTTAAATCAATACAAAGTATATAAGGTAAATGGCCCAATTCTGCAAATTCTTAAATAAGATTAATAGTTTCAGCAGTTTTATAAAAGTACTTAATATATCTTTAAGTGGTAAACCACTGAAGAAATAGCAGAAGGGCACTCAGTCTTTTGAGAACATTGTTGTTACCTGGAGTAAGATATGCTTTTACCTTTTTTATTAATGACCCATAGACTTATAGAGCAAATTAAGTTGAAGGAACCTCCAGACATCCTCTCAAGACAGGGCTGCCCTCAGAGTTGGGTTGCTTCCTTGTCTAGACAAGTTTTGAAAACTTCTAAGGATGGAAATTCAGTATTTTTGGGGGGCAACCTGTGCCAGTGCCTCATCACCCTCACTGAAATATCTTTTCCTATCCCTGGTTGGGATTTCCGTTGCTGTAGCTCGTGACCGTTGCCTTCTGTCCTTGCTCTGTGTACGTATGTCTTCGCTTTAACTAATGCGTAATTTAAGATGGCAATTAAATCTCCCCCCAGCTTTCTCTTCTGAAACAATGCATCACTCTCTGTCTCTCCTCGTTTGTTGTGCTCCAGTCCCCTGGCTGGATCAGTGCCTTTCCACGGCCTTCCTCCGGTGTATCCATCCCTCTTGTGAAATGGGGTGTTCAGAACTGAACAGTGTGTTCCAGATGTGGCCTCACGAGCACCGAGTAGACTAATTGCTTCCTTTGACCCGTTGGTTAATTCTTGCTAATACAGCCCAGTGTTGCAGTAATTTATTGCTGCAAGGGTACATTGCTGACTCATATTTAATTTCTGCTTTACAAGCACTCTTGTGTCCTTTCCTGCAGAATTGCACTGAGTCCCAGCCCAAGTTTCAGGACTTTGCTTTTGGCTTTACTAAACTACATGTGTTTGATGCCTGTTACCTCCATTCTTCCAGCTTATCAAGGGCCCTCTGAAAGGCAGCCCTGCTCTCCAGCATGTCCACCGCTCCCTTGGGTGTGGTATCGCATGCAAACTTGCTGAGAGAGTCCCGCACCCTTGTCTGGGTCTTTGAAGATGCTAAATAGTGTTGACCAGATGCTCTGTCAGATTCCTTTTTCTCCACAAAATTGCTTTTAAAAATAAAAGTTTGGTGTGGTGGAACCACATCAACTGTGGAGGGTTAGTTCACATGAAAATGTGTACGTTTATGTGTCAGTATTGTCTGCCTGGAATCAATAAAATAATACTGAAGACATGCTTATGTGTGGTGTTTGTGTCTATTCTTTCATATGAAGAGACAGTTTGATAATATTGCACAAAATATATGAAAAAAACGTGAATTGGAGAAGAAGGGTTTATCTGTGCAGGAAAGCATTTTCTGGGTTAGGATTGAGGTTGGTAAACACAGCTTAGAACAGCGTTGAAGTTCCTTTGAATTTTCATCACCCACTAACCACTCAAGTTATTAAAGCACTATCAGAATTCAGCTGAATTTAGAACATATTAGGAGATTCTACAGCTTTGAGGTTATATTTTCTTGCTTTTAAAAATTTGCTTGTGATTTTATTACTTTGAAGAAAAAATTACAATGTAAATATGTGATTTTATGAAGTTAACATGCTGAGTTTATGGTTTCATCTGGAAAAGGCTTTTTTTCCTTAATTGTACACAATTTTAACCCTAGGCACTGGATAGTAATTGAGTTACATCTGTTTGAAATTTTAAGGATGAGGGGGTGGGGGAGAACTGCAGTAACAGCTAGTTAGTTAGAAAGTTACTTCCTCACCTAGTTCCTGGTGAGTATCTGTAAAACTTCCACCTCACTTTTCAGAGAAACCTAAAGCAGCAGCTGACACGGCAAGACTCACTTTCCTGCCTAAAACACACTTTTGTTGATCAGTGTCTCTAGCATGACTTTGACATACTCAGCTCTGACGTGGAGGCTGTGAATGTCAAAACAGTGTTAACGTATGCTGTGAGCTTGTCTAACCACTGAGCAGCTGGACAGATGGGCGGGAGGCTGTTGTGCCACAAAAATGGCTACTTTGGGCAGAAAAGTCAGGGAATGGGCACTAATGATCCCTTACAACTGAATGTCTGCTTTCAAGTTTCGAACTTGTTGGTAGGGATCATTGTTTCTGGTGGAGAATGAAGGAAAAGTTTCACCTCGCTTGCTTAATATGCTTTTTTACATCTTTTTAACCAGAAAGGTTAATTTCAGTGTACACTGAAGCAAAAAAAACCAAAGAAGATTTCTCTGGCTAGGGCTGAATTTTCCACTCGTGGAAAGATAAATAATCCCATTGAATTCCACCCTGTTGTGTGAATTTGAAAATATTCTGTATAAAACAAAATAGGTAACAGGAATGGTTACCCAAATCTCAAATTCCTCTTGATCTAAAGTAAGATATGTCTGTGTAATTAAGCAAATACTTAAATTTCTCTTAAATCTATTTTATAATTTCTCATAAATTGAGAGAATTGGAGTACTCTAACAGAAACTGCTACTCAAATATTTTTTTGCAAACTCCTGAAAATTGTGTTGTACGTATACTGCCAAAATGCTGCTTCTTTGCGCTGTTTCACGAGTGTCTCCTGGAGCTTAAAATGTGCAATGCACTGGAAGTGGTGTATCCCATCATATCAAGTATAGGAGTTGTTCAGTCCATCTTAAAACTGTGTTTTAGTGGAGAAATGCAGAAGTCTTTCCTTGTCATACTTTTCTCTGCAGAGTGGATGAAAGACCCATGGAGAGGTAGCATCTCTGCAGCACCTCAAGCCAACATGAGAGGGTCTCTTTTCTTGCAGGCTCTGGAACAGAGCTCAGTTCTGTCCTTCTTCTGAGGCTGTACTAAGACATAGCAGTTTCTAGCCAATTTTGCATTTTATGTGTTAGATTTTCTGGTTTTTACCATTTTTACCTTAAAAAGATTCAGAAATCTCATTAAAACACTGTGTCAGTGGAACTTCAAAATTATGAAGACTAATGTTTAAAGAGGTCAAGAAACAATTCCATCAGGGCTCTTTGTGCAATGTTAGCCCTGCCTATTAGTGGATAGGGGTTTGAGGTATGACACAGAAGATTACAGCCATACTCTTCTGCAACTAATAAAGCCTAAAATACATTTTGCATACTCCAAGATATGTGTGGATCCAGATGCACACTGTGCACTACTATACATAAATCAGATTTAGGAACCATATCCAAAACAGAAAAAAAAGGCAGTTAACCAACATACTGTTCATCACATGCAAACACCCTGAAAAATGATGGGACTTGCTCGCCTATGTGTTCAGCTCTGATAGCATCACAGGTAATTGTATCATCCATTTAACTAATTTTGAAGAAGGTGATCATTTTAGTTGAAAGTGAAGCTAACGCTTAATGACTGCTTCTGAGTCATTAAACTAAACGTAGTTTTCAGTCAGAAGTATGTACTAAACATTTATGATATGTCGTAATGTAGACATTCACAATTGCCTAAAATTTCTATCTTGTACCAAAAATGTGGAATTTCCTAATATTTTTCGTATGTCCAAGGCAGGTAACAAAATCATATGCTACAGTAGATTACAAAGATATGACCACACTAGCTGAAATTATATGTAAAAAAAAAATATAACTATAGGGAACAAACTTTAATTTTGTAGTTGAGTGTTCCCATCTACAATCTTAATATTCTTTCAGTATTTTATATGATGAAATTCATTGGATCTTTGATAGTTTACAAATTCTTCTGAAGTCTTTTTCTAAATCTAAATCTAAATTCAAAAAAATATATTTTCAAAACCATTTAATTTTTGGTAAGGTAAGACATTTTAATTACATGTTTTAAGTTATGGTCCTTTGAGTTTTGTATTCACTCTCACTTTGTATGCATCCATCGCTTTCTTAAGACCTAAATTTTATTATTTTCATAGTCTATTATGTCTTCATTTTTAAAAAATAATGTCACTGTCTCCAAGAGATAAACATTAAGCTTAGTATATTTAATGTTGCAGTGTTTTGGACATTTTTTTCTTCATGATTGCTTCACAGTACGATGTGTCACATTGAACCTAATGATATTTGTGGTATTTTGGAAGAGAATAAAAGC